CCACCCTTTCCCACCCTCCACCCTCTCCCTCCCTTCGCGATCTCTCTCCTTCATCACTCTTTGCAGGCTTCAAATGCACAGCACTCTCAACATGAGTAACAGTGTCAAAGTTTCATTTTCTACTTCAAATATATTTTTAAAGTTTTTTCATTATTCTTTGAATTTCATTACAATGTGTCTCCTGTTTTCAAATTTCCGGTTATACTGATAATTTAAAACGAACTGGTAATTTCATCGCAGCATTTGCACTGCCAACACACTATTATTACGGTATAATATGTTACGAAAATCGAAAACCGGCATTCTGACTTCAGTGTTGTGCCAAAACAATTCTCAATCTGCTGGACGCAATAGCCAACTGCCAGATGTTTCCCTTGCCGACAGGGACTAAGCAAGTCGTGTCGCTTTCCCTCTATTCACAATTACGGCACTGAAGTCTCTCCGGGTCAACTGGTGGCGCACATCCTCTCGCTACACTGAGGCCACACATAGAGCTCAGTGATACACACGAGATATGATTCACTCTAAATGGCAATGACCTCCAGTTCACTCTCTTCACCCCCACTCCGCAACTCGTATCCAGAATCACCAAAATGGAACATTCATTTCGTACCATCATGTGGTTTGGACAGGAGATTTTGCACTGGAATTTGCATATCTTCTACTGTCAAGGGGGAAACCCTTTGTTTTTATTCTAATAGACGAACATAACCGTAGTTTCTCTAAACAAGAAAAATATGTTATTTTGGACGAGTAAGAAGAAAGTAGAAAATAACTGACTTGACGAAAAAATGCAAGTCGAAACAAGAGGACTTGTCGAAAAAAGCACAAATACCCTAAAAATTAACATCAAAATGCCATTACTTAACGACTGTACTAAACTAAAATAAAAATAGATTTTGGAAAAGCATGGGAATTTAGAGAAAATAATGAATTGAAATAGTCATAATTTGCTGCTCAACAACAAAATAGTTTAAGAACGTTCTTCAGAATTTGAGGTAAATGTAATCACATTCATAAAAACCGAAGTAAAAGGCGCAGAAAAAGAGCATATAGAGAAATTGACCTTTATTACAGAAATAGAATAACTTCTTGAAGAAATTATCTCTTCCATGCAGTGTATCTATTTAAAAATAAGTAATAATTAGTTTATAAAAATGTAGGTATATAAATATTTACATATAAAGTTATTTAGTTGTTATAAAGTTGTTATAAAGTTGTTATAAAGTTGTTATAAAGTTATAAAGTTGTTATTTAGTTCAAGTTAAAGGTGTAGGAAAGTATGACTATGTGCATCAGTTATTCATTCCAGTTCAGTTCAAATCGATGTGCGGCATTTTACAGTGGTCAGCAGGACTGTGAAGTGCTCTGCGGAGTATAGTAAAAGTGATTTCCAAATTACTGTTCCGACATTTCAAACGTTCAAGTTACTACTGATAATAACATGCATAACATATAAAATGAAATTACAGTGTACTTCCACAATATTTGTATTTAACAGCTACCAAAGCGTATCCAATCGCAGACAAAATAAACCTGAATGCAAATTGAACCCACCATGTAGAATACGGTGAACAGAATGCCGGTTGCTCCACAGAATGAACAAACGCGACATCGGCCGCTGCCCAAGCGCAGTCCAAGTCTAGCGCGGCGAGCGAGCTTTTTGAGCCTCTGCGCCCGCAGCTGCTCTCGATCTCCTCCTTGCTGGCAGGGCGTGTCGTGAGCGGCGGGCGCCTCCTGAGAGCCGCAGACGGGACGTCGAAGCGGCAGTCGCGAAGTCAGGGGCGAGGGACGCTGTCGCGAGCGGCGACGCAAACGGAGATAGACGCCTGCTTGCGGCCTTAAGTAAGTAACAAGGGCGGCGGAGGAGGAGGTGAATAGCGATGATAATGATTCGCAAAGAAGGGAGATTTTTTTAAACATATATACACATATGTACACATACACATATACACATATACATATATATACATATATACATATATATATACATATATATATATACATATATATATACATATATATATATACATATATATATACATATATATATACATATACACATATATACATATATATATATACATATACACATATATACATATATATATATACATATACACATATATATATATATACATATATATACATATATACATATATATATACATATATACATATATATATATACATATATACACATATATACATATATACACATATATACATATATACACATATATACATATATACACATATATACACATATATACATATATACATATATACACATATATACACATATATACATATATACATATACACATATATACATATACACACATATACACACATATACACATATATAGATATACATACATATATACATATATATATTATTGGAATACATAATTTAGTACAATTACTTTAAGTTTTTTTTAGACTTTTGCTAATAAAAATATCTAAGCTCACTTAATCTATACATTGGAGAGAATACTCTAGGGGAGAACCTCGGGGTTATGTATCGTGGTTGACTACGTTTTTGAGAAAGTCTTCAATCGGGAATCCATTTTTTGTTCGTTGGTCTTAACTGTAGGTTTTGGAAACTTGTTAATTGTTGAGGTTAGTTTCAGCTGCATTAATCTGGACGGATGTAGAGTATGGAAGACAAAAAGGAGTCTTCGTATGATGGTTTTGTAAATTATTATTGCGGTGATGGCGATGGCTGTAGCAATGGTAGTATGGCGACAGGCGTGAGGGAGGCGGTTCTGACCGTGGGGGTGAAACAAGAGGTCACGCTGAGTGGTCTACGCTCGGTAGCACTTTTTCCGCTCTTCCAAGTCCGGTGACGTCATGGTAGCCCAGCGACTTTTTATGAAGCTGCTACTCATACGCAAAAGAACGAACTTGAGAGTCGGCACAGACCCGCTTTTTCTTTACTTTAATATTTCTGGCAAAAGGTTAGGACTTAGCACATGAACATGAAAGATATTAATGGAGGTGTGAAATGTAATGTTTCTTGTTTATTCGTCAGAATAACTTTGGCCAAACGTATGTGAAATTGAAATAAAATTCTGTTGTTGCAAAGAAACATGAACAATTTACGACTGCTTTGAACATAAAAAAGCGACATGATTTACAAGATCTTCATTTACATCGCTTATTAAAAAAATTATATTGCTTTCTACGTTCGTGCATTGATCTGTATTTTATTGATATTAATATAGTATATATTTGATACTAACATTGGTAATTATTATATTTCAATGTTTTTGAAATTCAATTTTTGATACGAGCCTTTGAATAGAGATACTGATGTTGATATCTTAAAGATAATGGAAAAATAACTTTTGTAAACGATTCCTAGTTTGTAACTTCAAATCATCTGATCCGCCAGTGAATGCTTCCTTATCTTTTTTAACTTATTTAAAGTCGCTTATCGCTACTAAGGTCATATCGGGATCACTGTAAGGAACATATGGGAGATAACGGTATCGGTATACGGGCACACACACACACACATATCCATACCCCGGGCGGGATTCGAACCCGCGATCCTTCGGCTATCCGGGCCGACATTCATATCTTTAAGAGATAGAAAAATAAAGTAAATACATGTATTTATCACAAGAAGTCAAAAATATTCTTAAATTAAAGAAATGAAAGAATGAGAGTGGTCACATTTGATGGGTACAATGAAACATTTAGAATAATCTGTATACAACAACGTTCATTGAGCATTCAATGACGGTGGTAATGTAAAATGTGAAAGCTATTTGCGCCCTCACATTTCCAACTACAGAGTTTTCTCCTTCTTTAGCAAGAAGAATTGAATGAAACGTGTGTAATGAGAGGGCAAACGCACTACCTCCCCTTCGTTGCTCGCTCAGCCCGCGAGGCAGCGCCCGTCGCATAGCGCATCTCCGGCCCCACCGCATCCAGCGCTCTCTGTTCCGGGAAGGCTTTGGGGGAATCGACGTGGATAGCACACGTTCCCCGCGCCCGATGTGCCGTGAAGCGCCTCCCCTCCCCTCCCCCGCTCGCCCCCCGTGCGGGCAGGCGCAGTGGGTGCGCGGCCTGACGAGCGTTGGTTAGGCGGGGGCGAGCGGGGGGGCCGGGACGTGTCGGAGCGTGGCGGCGGGACGTGTTGTGGTGAGGTGAGGAGGGCGGGCTGAGGCCTCGGGAACTGCAAACGCGTGAAAAATTCCCGGTCCGCTCCATTGCTGTGCCGCGCCCAGCTGGAGGTGAAGAAGCGGTCGGAGGCGGCCCCCGAAGATCGGTGGTGC